TCAGGACAGAGGAGACCTTTGGGGTGAGGCAGGCAGCCAAGATCGAGAACGTTCTAATGGTAGAGTCTGACGGCAGGCTACTGTGTACGCACTTTGCTCCTCTGCCTTGTCAAGTGCATGGACTGTTGCATCAGTCAGCGTCCCAGATGGAAAGAGATAGCACACTCACAGTGGGTAATTTAGGGAGTGATGGGGACAGGCACAATGGTTAGAGGAAGGGCCAGGGGTCAGGAGCCTAATGGAGGATAACACAGTGCCTTCCTCCTGCCAACCATGGGGTCCCATCACTATCTTTAGCGGAAAGGGGCAAAAGAACTGAGTGGTCCTCAGAAACTGGAGTCAGGGCCTGAGATGGACAGATGCTTCAAATCCGTAGGGACTCTGCATGGAAGGGACAAATGCCCTGGTCTTTCCACTCCCATCCCCTGACCTCCTACTGATGCCTCCCATCGGCAGAAGCCAATGAAACTGGAAGCCAGAGGTGAAGGAAATTGATTGATCTAATCCTTGGGTGAGCCTCCTGGTTAAAGACATTTTGCACATGTGTATTTCATCTACTCCTTTTTACTTTATTTAAAATGTTTATTTGTCTGTGTGTGCTAATTTGCTTCAGTCGTATCTGATTCTGTGTGACCCTATGGACTGTAGCCTGATAAGCTCCTCTGTCCATAGGATTCTCCAGGCAAGAATACTGGAGTGGTTTGCCATGCCCTCCTCCAGGGGATCTTCCTGACCCAGGGATCAAACCCACGTCTCTTATGTCTCCTGCATTGGCAAATGGGTTTTTTACCAGTAGTGCCACCTGGGAAGTCCAATGTTTATTTTTTTTTATGTTTATTTATCTTTTTATTTTGTCTGGCTTCACCAGGTCTCAGTTGTGGCACATGGGATCTTTTAGCTGTGGCATGAGGGATCTAGTTCCCTGACCATGGATCAAACCCGAGTCCCCTGCACTGGAAGATGGATTCTCAACCACTGGACCACAAGGGAAGTCCCTCACCTATTATTTTTAAAATTTAATTTAATTTAAAAATTGACATAGGAAACTGTATTCAATGCCATGTAGTGACCTATGTGCTTAGTTGCTCAGTTGTATCCGAATTTTTGTGACCTGGTGAACTGTAGCCCACCAGGCTCCTCTGTCCTTGGAATTTTTCAGGCAAGAATACTGGAGCAGGTTGCCGTTTCCATCTCCAGGGGACCTTTCCGACTCAGGGATCTAACCTGGGTCTGTTGCTTTGGCAGGCGGATTCTTCACCACTGTGCTGCAGGAAGCCCATACTAACCTTTATAGACATAGAATCTGAAAAAGAATAGGAAAAAAATTAAAAAATAAAAAACAATATATATATATGTATAACTGATTCACTCTGAAGTACGGCAAAAACTAACACAACATGTAAACACAACATGTAAACCAACTGTGTTGTTGTTTAGTCGCTAATTTGTATCTGACTCTTTTGTGATCCCTTGGACTGTAGCCTGCCAGGCTCCTCTGTCCATGGGATTTCCCAGGCAAGAATACTTTAGTGGGTTGCTGTTTCTTTCTCCAGGGGATCTTTCAGACCTAGAAATCGAACCTGCATCTCCTACATCGCAGGTGAATACTATATTCCAGTAAAAACTAATTTAAAAAATCAGAATTCAGGTCACGTGAGATGAAAGTACCGGGATGAAGATGGAAGTGTTAGTTGTCCAGTCATGTCCAACTCTTTGCGATCTTATGGGCTGTAGCCTGTCAGGCTCCTTTATCCATGGGATTTTCCAGGCAAGAATACTGGAGTGGGAAGCCATTCCCTTCTCCAGGGGAATCTTCCCAACCCAGGATGGAACCCGGGTCTCCTGCATTGCAGGCAGATTCTTTACCATCTGAGCCACCGGGGACGTCCACCACATGCATGTGGGGTTCATGTGCCACATGATGGAGATCTTAGTCCCCTGACAAGGGGTCGAAACCTCGTCCTCTGCAAATAGACTCCAAAATTTTTTTTTAAATTGAGATATCATTTATTTGCCATAAACATTGTCTTGTTTAAGTGCACAATTCTGTGGGTTTGGGTGGATTCATAATCTTGTGCAACCATCACCTTTATCTACTTTCAGATATTCTTTTGCATGTTTCAACATTGCTTCAAAAATCCAGTACAGAGGAAGCAGAAAGGAGAAACTGATTTGAAAAAATATTGAGTAGCCCCTGCACTGACTCAAAGAGATCTCTTCTGCGGGTCCAGGATTTCTCTTTTCAGTTTCCCTTTTCCTAGAAGAAGTTATAAAGACCAGCATAGACCGAGTTGGATGGCCCCAGACTAGATTCCTGCCTTTCTCCACTCTTCCCCTCTGTCTCATGAAACTGGGGATATTCTGAGTGACTCCATCTCATAAGGCTGCCGAGCAAACTTTAATTAAAAAACTTTGCCTGGAGCCTGGCATTCCAAGGTGGTTATTGAACGCAAAACCACAACAAGTATTCCAAGTGAAATGAAACAGTACAGAGGACTTGGTTTCAGCACTTTACTGCCAGTCCTACTTGGTAGAAGATGACACCAGGGGAGTTACCTGCCCAGGGCCACCCATTGAATGAGAGGCAAAGTCAGCATTTACACCCATTTGCTTCCAAATTCTCAAGAGGAGGGCCAAGAAACCTGGGGGACACTTGTCTCAGGGTTTAGATGGAATACTTATTGGTTTAAAAAAATTTAAATTGGGGCAAAGTATATACAATACAAAATGTGTCATCGTTACTTTTTTTTTTTTTTTTGGCCAAGGCATACAGGATCTGAGTTCCCTGACAAGGGATCGAACCTGCAGCCCCTGCATGGAGAGCATGGGGTCTTAACCATTGGACCACCAGGGAAGTCCCTCTTCACTATTTTTAAGTGTATAGTTGACTAGGTTTTTAAAAAAATTTACTCATTTATTTTTTGGCTGTGCTGTATCTTCATTGCTGCGTGCAGCCTTTCTCTAGTCGCAGCGAGCCAGGACTCCTCTCTGGTTCTCTCTAGTTGTGGTCCTTGGGCTTCCCATTGCAGTGGCTTCTCTTGTAGAGCATGGGCTCTAGGGCTCTAGGGCTTCAGAAATGCTGATTCCCAGGCTCTAGAGCACAGGCTCAACAGCTGTGGCACACAGGCTTAGTTGCTCCGTGGTGTGGGGGATCTTCCCTGATCAGGGATTGAACCCATGTCTTCTACATTGGCAGGCGGACTCTTTACCACTGAGCCACCAGCGAAGCCCCTACAGTTCATTAGTGATAAGTACATTCACACTGTTGTGTAACTGTCACCACCATTCGTCTCCAAGAACTCTTTCTTCATCTTGTAGAATTGGAACTCTATCGCCATTAACCACTAACTCTCCATTCCCCTTTTCCCAGCCCCTGGCACCCACCATTCTACTTTGTCCCTTTGAATCTGACTCCTCTAAGGACCTCATATAAGTGGAATCATACAGTATTTATCCTTTTGTGTCTGGCTTCTTTCACTCAGCATAGTGTCCTCAAGTTTCATCCATGTTTTAGCATGTGTCAGAATTTCCTTCCTTTTTAAAGCTGAATAAATATTCCATTGTATGGATGGATCACATTTTGTTTATCCAGTCATCTGTTGAGGGACATTTGGGTTGGTTCCACATTTTGCCTATTGTGGGCAATGCAGTTCTGAACATGGGTGTACAATATCTCTTCAATTCTTTTGGGTGATACCCAGGAATGGAACTGCTGAGTCATATGATAATTTCATTTCATTGTTTGAGGATCTACCATACCACTTTCCATAGTGGCTGCACCATTTTACATTCTTACCAACAGTGCCTGCCTAATGCCTAATGTGCGATGTGCTCAGTCATGTCCAACTCTTTGTGACCCCATGTACTGTAGCTTGCCAGGCTCCTCTGTCTATGGGATTTTCCAAGCAAGAATACTGGGGTGGGTTGCCATTTTCTTCTCCAGGGGGTCTTCCCGACCCTGGGATTGAACCTGAGTCTCCTGTGTCTCCTGCATTGCACGTGGATTCTTTACCTGCTGATCCATCTGGGATGTCCACCAACAGTGCACAGGGTTCCAATTTCTTTATATTAATGCAAACACTTGCTATTTTCTGGGCATTTAAGAAAATGTAGTCATGCTAATAGGTGTGAGAAAGGCCCTATTTCTTTTTAATGTTTTTATTTATACATAAGAAATTGAGCTTTATTACTTACAGTGGTTACTGTTAGTTGCAAATATATATTTTATGAAAAAATATACATACATTGCTGATGTGTTTGCAAACACATTTTACTGATGGAATGCATGCATGCTAAGTTGCTTCATTCATGCCCAACTCTTTGTGACCCTACTATGGACTGTAGCTCATGAGGCTTCTCTGTCCATGGGGATTCTCCAGGCAAGAATATTGGAGTGGGTTGCCATGTCTTCCTCCAGGGCATCTTCCCAACCTAGGAATCGAACCTGCATCTTTTACATCTTCTGCACTGGCAGGCAGGTTCTTTACCACTAGCGCCACCTGGGAAGCCCTCCTGATGGAGTATGTGACCAGGAAGTCTGGAAACCCCTTAGTCAAACCAGCTTTGAGTGTGTGTGTAGAAGGCGAGGAGGGATGGGGATGTCTGGATCATTCCTAAATCCCCAGACTGAAGATAATGAAGTCCAGAGGTTGACTGAGACAGCCTGTTTCATTCTTCAAGGTCCAGGGACAATGCCCCCTCCTCCAGGAAGCCTTCCTTGCCTTCCCAGACACAGCTCCAGCTCTCTGATCTGGGCTCCTCAGCCCAGGATGCCAGGATCCCAGGGTCCACTGTCTCTGCTCCTAGCCTTGACCACAGAGGGGTCTGTGCCTGGAGGCTGGGTGCCCTCTGGGGTTCCAGCAATGCCCAGACACAAAAATGCGTCAGGCAGAGTTTGTTGAATGAATGAATGAATGAGGGAAGGGTCGTATATCCAGGGAGGGGTGTGAACTAAAGAGGCTTAGTTGTTGGGGGGTGAGGAGGGTTGGGTGAGGCTCTGTTCATCGGGGCCACACTGGGGTGCGGAAGCAGCTGCAGGCCAGGCAACGAAGGCCAAGGTTGAGGAGGCGTGGCCAGCGGAAGAGCAGGCGGTGGGAGGTTCGCACATGCAGGCTGCCGGAGGGATCCATGGCCTTGAGCGCGGCCAGTGGAGCGTAGCGGGTGTTGGTCTGTCGGCGCAAGGGTGGTCTGGCCGAGCCGATGACCTTGACGATGACCTGAGGGGTGGAGCCCTGAGCTCTGGGACCCAAGGAGGGGCGTGGTTTCTGTAGGGAGGGGCCCCCTCACATACCTGAGCCCTGTCTTGCGGCTCCGGGCCCCACCTCACCTTGGCTACATCCTGTGGGCTCTGTCCCACGTTGTGAAAGAGCTCCCTGGAGGCTGGGAGGTACAGATCTCGAAAGTAGCTCAGGGTGTCAGGGTCGGTGCCTGGGAACTCAGCTGTGGAAACCTGCTCTAGGAGCTTGCCTTCAAATTCTGTGATGACCGGGCCTGGCTCCACCAGGGAGATGCTGAGAAAAGGGGGAGGGGAGAGAGTCTGGTGCCCCCCAAATGCCAGATACCCCATTTTGCCTAATACTGTCTCTCTCTGGGTTGTTTTTTTTTTTTTTTTTTTTTTTTTTTGTGGCTGCGTGGCATGTAGGATCTTAGTTCCCTGACCAGGGATTGAGCCCACGCCTCCTGCACTGGAAATGAAGTCTTAACAAACTGGACCGCCAGGAAAGTCTCCAATACCGTCCCTCTTTTCTCCTCACTTCCCCACGTCTCCCATTGTTATTCACGCCTCCTTGCTCCCACCCATCTCCTCTGCTGCTCCTCTCTCCTTGTCTGCCCCGCCACTGCCTCCATCCCCCCATCACTGTCCAAATGCCCGCCTCACAAGATGTTGAACTGTAGCAGCTGGACAGCCAGACTTTCGAAGAACCCCTCCACGGCAAACTTGGAGGCCGCGTAGACTTCATTGAATACGACACCTGAGAGGACGGCAGGAAGGCGGGCCCTTTGGGGGTCTGGGTGGTGGGCTTGGTGGGTCCAGAGGGATGGGGTCTTGGGAGACAGAGCAAAGAGGATTTAGGGGTCAGAGGATACCTGGGGCCAATGTGATAGGTGTATGGTAGTGTGTTGTGGGACCAGGTGGGGTCAGGATGAAGTTGGGGTGCCTCGTCCCACCTCTTCCTTGCAGTGTTCCATCCATCCTTAGTCCAGGGAACTCTCCTATTTCCCTCTATCCTCTAAATGCTTGGGCCGCTTGGTCATGGGATTCCTGGGGTCCCCCAGGACAAGCCCCATTCACCAGGGTCTTTATTGGCCCCTGTTGAACAGTGAATGTGTCCCCCCAAAGTCAGGGAGTGTAGCTGGAAGAGGGGCCAAAGAGCTGGGTAAATGTAGATTTTCCATGTCAGGGTTACAAGTAGGGTGGATTCCTTAGGGGGCTGCTGGTGTGAGGGGCAGCTCCAAGGAAATTTCCAGGGAGAGGAAGGAAGTTGAGAGAGGCTCGAGGAGGAAGGAGCCAGGCACAAGGATGGCAAATAGGTGGCCTCCATAGTAGACCCATAGCAGACATCTCTAGTCAGTCACCACTCTGTTTCCTGCAGAACCTGAGTCCCAGATCTAGACATCTCTGGGGTCTGGTGGGGTCTGGCAAGAAGGAGTCTCAGGAGGAGTTCTGATGGTTCCTTTGAGTTTTGTGGGCTGGTTGGAAGAGATTTTCAGAGGTCTCCAGAAGTGGGGTTGATAATGGATGTGGATGGCCATTGGCAGCATGTATACCAGCCCTGTCTACTCCTATCCATGGTAGACATAATTAATCTATCCCAGAACTTTTTCCTCCTGAAGTTCAGTATTCTTCTCAATGCAGGCCTATTTAGGGAATATGAGTTAAAACCTAGTTGCCATCCTTCCAGCTGGGGGAGGGTCAGACACTGGGAGGATTCCCAGCATTGGATCCTCAGGACTCACCCTGCAGCCCCATGACACTGCTGACCACCACGATGTGGCCCTGTCGCCTTCTCTTCATGCCAGGAAGCACAGCCTTGACCAGACGGACAGCCCCAAAAAAGTTGGTATCAAAGACATTCTGCATGGCAGCTAGACTGAGCCCTTCCAAGGGCCCCACCAGGCCCACTCCAGCATTATTCACTAAGGGGGGTAGGGGTGAATGTTACTTTGAAGTCCCCCAACCCTTCTAGGGTCACTCTCCCAGGGACTATTGCTAAATCGTCCCACCCCTCCCCCACTCCAAATCTGGGGTTAATCCAGGGTATCTAGGGCGGACAAATGTGGAGCCTTGAAAATCTTTAAATATAGTTTAGCCCTTGTTATAGGGGACTCTTAACCCTGGGTGGGGAGGAGGACTGCTGGGAACAGCCTCCCCTTCAATGCATGAGCAATTCAGCTCTGACCCCAAATTGCATCAAAACAGCCACATCCACCCTCCTTAGAGGACCATTTAGGGACCATGAGTTGCTTCTTCATCATGCTCCTTCCCCTCAATGACTCATCAAATGAATTTCCCCAACCACGTAAGGTTTTCTTCATATGTGAGAAGTTCCATTCAAAAAAATCCACCCTATTCCCAGGTTTCAATTTATTTTTTGTATCTGTAATAAACAGAATGGTAGCCTGGACTCTTAGCCAACTGGTTTACCCCTTCTGTACAGTGTCAGCGGTTACTGGTGAAACAAGAGGGCTGGTTCCCAGACACTGGAGAGGTCTTGCTGTGATTGAGGATCTCTTCTTAGGCCATGGAGGAGGCAAGTGGCCCCAGGGGATTATCAGACTCACCAAGCACGTCCACTTCCCCTCCCTGGATGCAGCTGAGACACTGGGCCACTGACTCGTCACTGCTCACGTCCAGCTGGGCCACGGTGAGGGTCTGACCCAGAGCCTCCCCAGCAGCTGCCTCCAGTGTCCCCTTCTTTCCCAGATCCCTCATGGTGGCCACCACTGGGGACAGAGAGCAGAGTTGGAGCAGGCACTGGGTTCCTTTAACCTATGAGTGAACGTCCATGTTCCTGTGATACTGCATGAGGAATGTCACAGAGGAATGGAGACCCATAGGTTTATACATCTACATTCACCACACAATCACAAATGCATACTTATGTACAAACATTTATATGTACCTCCATCCATCCATCCATTCATCTAGCAAACATGTATTGAGCATCCACTCTACCCTATGCCCTATTTGAGGTGCAGAGGCTATCACATGAAATAAGATAAAGTGCATGGCTTCATCGAATTCAAAACCAGTAGGTAAGACAATAAAATAAACATAGAACAGAAGAAATGCCTGCACATCTAAAGTCAACATATGCCTGTTATACAGAGTGAAGTAAGTCAGAAAGACAAAAGCAAATGTTGTATATTAATGCATATATATGGAATCTAGAAAAGTAGTACCGGTAAACTTATTTGCAGGGAAGGAATGGAGACACAGACATAGAGAATGGACACAGTGGAGGAAGGAGAGGGTAGGATGAATTGAGAACGTAGCATTGACATATATACACTACCATGTGTAACATAGATAACTAGTGGGAAGCTGCTATATATCACAGGGAGCCCAGCCTCCATTCTGTGAGGACTTAGAGGAATGGGAGTGGGGAAGGAGAGGATATGATATAATTGTGGCTGATTTGCATTGTATGGCAGAAACCAACACAACATTGTAAAATCATTGTGCTATGCTAAGTCGCTTCATGCCCAACTCTTTGTGACCCCATGGACTGTAGCCCGCCAGTCTCCTCTGTCCATGAGATTCTCCAGGCAAGAAGACTGGAGTGGGTTACCATTTCCTTCTCCAGGGGATCTTTCTGACCCAGGGATTGAACTCGTGTCTCTCACATCTCCTGCATTGGCAGGTGGGATCTTTATCACTAGTGCCACCTTTTCCAATAAAAAATTAAAGTCAACATATGTGCAGATATGCACATGTAAGTATGAATAGCTACATTTACATCATCAGCATAGATTCCAATTTATTGAACGCCTACTATGTGCCATATACTATGCTAAACATTTTTAAATAAGTGCTAACTCTAATCCTCACATGATTAGGTCATTGACTTATTTCCCAAAGATGGCCACAACATATTTTATTGCTCATGCTCTTCTAGAATGTAGCTTCTCACCCAGCAGGACATGAAATCTGATTCTTAAATCCTGTGACTAGCTGGGAATCAATAGACTGTGGTAAAGGTAACACTGTGTGGCTTCGGAGATTAGGATGGAAAAGATGTTGCAGTTTCTGCCTTGCTTGCTGGAACACTTACTCTTGAAGCCTTTAGCCACCCTATAGCAGCCCTGTCCTGAGGCCACCATGCTGGGAGGAAGCCCAAGCCAGCCCAGAAAGAAAGACCACATGAAGCAGCCCTGAGATGGCTGGAAGGGAGAGAGATGTCTGCCCAACCCTGACTTGTTCCAGTCTCGTCTGTTCTCGTTGTGGCCTTTGACCTTGAGCCTGAACTACCCAGCTGAGCTCTTCCAAATTCATAACCTTTGTAAATCTCTCAAGAAAGGTGATTGTTGCTGTTGTATGCCATACATTTTGGGGTGCTCTGTTTTTACCAGTAGTAATCAGAACACATAGATAATATTATCCCCATTAACTCACCAAGTCTTAACAAAATGAAGTTTCTTGCCTAATTTATCCTTGTTGTTTAGTTGCTAAGTCAAATCCGACTCTCTGCGACCCCATGGACTGTAGCCCGCCAGGCTCCTCTGACCATGGGTTTTGCCAAAGTTGCGCATGTCTCTAAAACAGCAGAGGCCTGGGAGAAGCAACCTTGCCAAGTGGGGCAATGTCCTCACCCTTGCATCCTTCTGTTAAGTAATGGTCCTTTGGCTGCTTCGACTCTAGTGTGCTCTGGGTCAGAGGTTCTGGGTGGGGTGCAGATTTGGGCCATTGACTCCAGAGCTGTAGAAGGCCAAGTCTTTAGACCTACAGCTGCGCCCCGCCCCCCCCCCCCCCCACTCCAAACCCTCAAGGTCAGGGTCACTTAAGAGGCTTATCACTGACTAGTAATCTGGGGAGGGGTGGGGGAGGGGAACCTTCAGGGAATGCCTAAGTGAAACCTCAGAAAAGTCCTCCCCAGCCAGCCCTTCTAAAAATATCACACGCACGCACCCCACTTCCTTTATTTTGCTTCTGACCACTCATCAGTACTGGCCATATAATGCAATTAAAATATCTGTTTACTATTTGTCTTCCCTCTCCTCCCCCAATACATCACTGCCCACAGAAGAGATTTTTGTCTATTTTTTTTTTCGCAGCTGTATTTCCACACCTAAAACCTGAGATCCAATAGGTGCATTAGAAACTTTCTTTGGATGGGGGATGATTCACAAGCAGAGGTGGGAAGGGGGGCTCTCAGTGTTCTGGGTTCTCCAAGCTCACCAAGGCAGCTGAAGGCATGGGCTAGTGGAAATAGTGCGGGGAGAGCTGAGGGGCCCTGGGAAGCCGTACCCACTCCTGTCTTTCCCGGCCTGTCCTCCCCATCCCCAGACTCCTTACCGTGGTAGCGCTGCCTGGGGTCATGAGCCAGCTGCACTGCCAGCTCCAAGCCAATCCCAGAGGAGCATCCTGAGATGAGTACAGTCCGGGGTGGATCAGCCATGTTGATTCTTCTCTGGACGTGTGACCTCCACTGTCCAGCACCTGACTCCCGCCACCTATCATCCGCTCATCTGCTCTCTCCTAAGCACCCTCCACCCGATCCCCAGCAGCGTGAAGGAACCCTGGGATTCCTCAATTATGAACTGACCTTGCACAGGCAGCCACGGGGCAGGGGGGTAGGGGGTGAGAATCCCTTAATTTCAATATAGTCCTTTCTTTTTATCTGTCAAGTATTTCCTTTCTTCCCCAATACACTCATAACTGGGGGCTTTTGTTATGATGATAAGTTATTCAGGGTTGGGGGGGGTGTTTGGGGTGATGGGAAATGAGCAGGGGTGTTCTCCTGCTGTTTCTACCCTAAGCAAAGAATCTCTGGTGGAGACAGTGTGGTCCCAGAAGGGTCCTTTCAAAGAGAGAAAGGGCATAGAAATGGTAGAAGATGGGGTTAGACTACAGGAAGAACTTCCCAACAAAAGAGGGCAGGGCAGGAACTTTACGGGTCTTCAGCTAGGGAAGTCTTAGTCTCCGGTGTCCCTGAAGAGGGAGTAGAAGTGACTTGAGGAGATTCCCTCTCCTCCTCCCACTCAGGGCCCCCCCTCCCCCTCAGGCCAGATGGGTCCCCACCCCCTCCTCCCCGGAGACACAAAGTCTCTTTGTCTAAGAGTCAGAGGCCGGGAGGGAGGCTTCTCCCTCTTCCCCATGGGGGGCGGGGCAGTTCAGGGCCCGGGACACTCGGGTTCCTCCCTGCGGAAGCTCTCTCAGATCCTGCCTGTCTGCGCTTGTTCAATTGCACAGACAGCTCCGCCTGACTTGATCCCCTGGGTCCTCCTCACACTAGGGTGGGGGAGAGTTCCCAGTGGGGTGAAGGGAGCGTTCTGCCTCACCCCAGGAATGGCAGGGGTCCACCCCTCCCAGCTGCTTGAGGGTAGGATCAGACTCCCTGATTTAATGGGGAAATGCGTGAGGATTTGGGGTTTTGCCTGGGACATCCCGCTGGGATCTGAGTCTGGGAGAAGAGCGCCGAGGATGGAGGTGGGGGGCTTTATTTGAAGATTAAGAGTTTGGGTTTCTCTGGTGGCTCAGACAACAAAGAATCTGCCTGTGATGCAGGAGACCCAGGTTTGACCCTGGGTCAGGAAGATCCCCTGGAGAAGGAAATGCAACCCACTCCAGTATTCTTGAGTGGAGAATTCCATGGACAGAGGAGCCTGGCAGGCTACAGCCCATGACGTCTCCAAAGAGTCAGGCATGACTGAGCACACACAGGGGAGGCAGGGAGTGAGGCTGGTACCTTATTGTGGGGTCAGGCAGATGGGTGAGGATTTAGCATCAGGCTGGGACCCCAGTTGGGGGCCTGACTGAGACAAAAGATTTGACATAAAGCTCTACCCTCTAATTCCAGGCCCTAGATGGAGGCTGCAGGTTTGAAAGGGACTAAGATCTTCAACAGAGTCTGTTTGGAGAAAAAGTCTGGGACCCCGAATTTAAGGCTGGGTGGGAGTGACCCTACTCTGCTACTGTTGTTGTTCAGTCGGACAGTTGTGTACGACTCTTCGGGACCCCATGGACTGCAGTCCACCAGGCCTCCCTGTCCCTCACCATCTCCTGAAGTTTGCCCAAGTTCATGTCCATTGCATCGGTGATGCCATTCCGACATTTCATCCTCTGATGCCCTCTTCTCCTTCTGCCCTCAATCTTCCCCAGTATCGGGGACTTTTTCCAATGAGCCGGCTTTTCACATCAGATGACCCAAATCCTGGAGCTTCAGTTTCAGCATCAGTCCTTCCAACTTCCAACTTCCAAGTATTCAGGGTTGATTTCCCTAAGATTGACGGGTTTGATCTCCTTGTTGTCCAAGGGAGTTTCAGGAGTCTTATCCAGCACCACATTTCAAAGGCATCAATTCTTTGGCATCCTGCCTTCTTTACCATCCACTATCACAACTGTACCTGACCACTGGGAAGACCACAGCCTTGACTATACGGACCTTTGTCGGCAGAGTAACGTCTCTATTTTTCACCACACTGTCTAGGTTTGTCATTGCTTTCCTGCCAAGAAGCAGTCGTCTTCTGATTTCATGGCTGCAGTCATAGGGCCAAGTGCCATGATCTTAGTTTTTTATAATATTTAGTTTTTAAGCCGGCTCTTTCACTCTCCGCTACTGTGGGGTGGGGCAAAAAGGGCCCAGCTCCCGGCCCAGGGCTCCACCCTTTGCCGGCCAATCAGCGCTCAGCACAAACTTTCCCAATTCCCCACACCAGCTGTCAGCTGCCCCCCCTCCCTTGAGCTCCGCCTGGCCGGGCGCTGGAGCGCAGGGCGAGGCCAGGGCGGGGTCTCGGGCAGTCTCCTGCGGATCCCGAGTGCAGTCGGCCGCGGAGGGACTGCACCGAGCCCGAGGAGACGCCGCGCCCTACAGCCGCCCGGGCTGGTCCCCCGCCTTGAGTGTGGGCCCCGCCGGGATGGGGAGTCGCCGGGGCCCGGGCCAGCCGCGGGCCGGCCTCTGCCTGCTCCTGGCCTCTCTGCAGCTTCTGCCCCGGATGCAGGCCGGTGAGCCGGGAAAGGGGAAATAGGACTTGGAGTGCAGGGTCCAGCGAGGCTCCCAAAGACGCTGAGGAGTGGGGAATGAGGGGGGTGTGCGCGTTGCGTGGGGCGCGAGTGTTTGACTCTGGGCCGTTTGCGGGTGTGACAGTTTGCGGGGGGGCATGGAAACCTGTGCCCCTGTTTCGTGGTGCGTGCATGGGAATGCATGCAATTTAAAGGTATGTGTGCGTGCGCAGCCATGAGCTTGGGGGCATTTAGAGTGAAATTATGTGTGTGCTCGAAGTGGGAGTTAACGATTGTATGGATATGGGTGATGGGATGATCCCTGGGCTAGTCTGATTGAGTTGTATTGCGAGTGTGTGTCTGTGTGTGGGGCTGATTTTAAGAATAATCATGCGTGTTGTGCGTGTGATTGTGTGTTTCTGGGTGACCCTATGAGGGCTGTGGTTGTGACTTGGGGGATAAATAGGTAAATAACTGCCCATGAGGATCATTCTAAGGGGTATGGTGGGTGGGGACTTGTAGGGGAGAGGGTTGACCTGGGATTCAGAGCTCCCTTGGCGGCTCCCCAAACGGCTTCATCGTATTCTTCCTCTTCCTTCTTTGACCCCAGTTAGCGCGCGTCCACCTCCTTTTCCCCCCATCCCTGCCCCCTCCCCCACCCCGTGCTCCCCAGAGCCGAGATCAGCACCATGGACAGGGCCTCGGGAGGGCCCTGGGGAGGGGCGAGACGGGGCGGGGCTCAGGGAAGGGAGGGGCGGAGTGCGGGCCGGGTGGTGGGGGGAGTGGAAGTTGCTTTCCTAAGCTGAGCAAGCCTCGGATGTTTTTCCCGAGCAATTTCTCAGGGCCCCCCCAGGGGGTCCCGGGGGCCGCCGGACGGATGAGTCAGCGCTGACGCACGCCCAGCTGTGCGGTTCTGGCAGGACGCCCCGCCCCGCCCCTCAGGGTTCTGGGTCGGGGGCGCCCGGGGCTTTGGGAAGGTCGTGGTTCTTCAAGTGTGATTGAGGAGGCTTCCCTGGTCTAAGATACCAGTCAGGGCCTACCGGTAATCCTCCACTAACGCAGCCCACCCTCCACCCGAGCAGCCTGGCCCCTCCAGCTTTCTAACTTTCTCAGCAGCTCGGAGAGATCCCTGCTCACGCGGATAATCCCAAATTAGTTTATGCCCCATTCACACGCTTACACATCCACACAGTCGTGCGATCTCAGGCACGCATTGAGAATATAAGGCCCTTGGGACACCAAGAATGTTAAACACCTGGTGCCCACGCCCAGGCAACCCCATCAGCCGTCCGCATACGGCCACAGCTTTTGTCACCCGCCTACGCTTTCAAACTCCCACACGTTCTTCCACTGGCATCCACACAAAGCAGTAAAGTGTTCTCAACCAGTCACCCACTCGCTGACTTGGCTTCAGTCTCACAGATAACCCCACGCCTGCATCTCGCTCGAGTTTGAGCTATAACAATCACAGATTTCCCTGAATCACCTGCAGAACCTCTGACTCACTGCTGGGACCCCAGAACAAGTCAAAGAACTGCACCTGAACACTCCATCATAGGCCAAATACTCCCAGACATAGACACACCACAAAGCGCACGGTCAGCTAGTCCCTGGACCATACAGAGACATACACATGCTTGCACAGTCTCACCCACATACACTATAGCACGTATACACATTTGCACATTCATATCTAAGCTCCCCTACACATCTGAGGGGTCCCAGCCATGTCCCAGCCTGATCCCTGCCTGCCTCCCTCCACATCCTAGACCCCGCCAGCCTCTCCCTGGGGTCCTCACAAGCACCCAGGAGAGTCTGTGGGGAGAAGGGCAAGCTGGGTGCTTGACAGACCCCCAGCTCCTGGCCCTGCAGGCAGAACTCAATGCCGCTTGTGTATTTCCTTGTCAGCAAGCCAGCCATGAAAAGAAAGGGCAGTTAGTTTCTGAAAGGCCATGACAGAAGGAACATAGATTGAAGGAGGAGACATTTGGGTTAGATGATGGGGAAGACTTTTAAAACGTGATTGAGCAGTTGGTCGAGGGGAGATCCTTCTGAGTCTGGGTGAAAGGAGAGCCTGGGAGAGCCACATTGGGTGGAATCATGGATCTCAGCCCTCCCTGGGGCTTCAGCCTGGAGAGAGGGCAGCTGGGCTGATCATTCCATCCAGGAGTGACCCTTGTGGTCAGAAGAGCCTGGGAGTCCAGATCTTAGCCCCAGGGGGCTGTAACCCAAATACCTCTTAATAACAGCCCAGCCACAGAACAGGCAATTCAGGCAATTAAAGTTGGGGCTGGTGGAAACAGCAGAGTTGGGGGGGAGTGGGTATGGGGGGAGAGAGAGAGAGAGAGAGAGAGAGAGAGAGAGAGAGAGAGGAGAGAGATAGGGAGAGTAATCCACACACAGAGATAGAGAGAGTCCAGAGAAAAACACATGTGAGAACCAGGGAAGCACCAAGAG